CCAAGGGTCCTTGCCTGTAGCGCTGAGCGAGAATTTTCGCTCAGCGTGACCCAAGGGTCCTTGCCTGTAGCGCTGAGCGAGAATTTTCGCTCAGCATGACCCAAGGGTCCTTGCTTGTAGCGCTGAGCGAGAATTTTCGCTCAGCGTGACCCAAGGGTCCTTGCCTTCCATGCTGGCCTCACCATAGAGGTTGCAGCTTTGACACTTACGAGTCACCGACGAATTTTTTTTGCATTCTGATTAAAGCAAGTGATGCCCTCAATACCAATTGACAGTCCATTCCTTAACGTTGTACAGCATTATTTTACTTGCGGATGAAGTACTGGAGAATCAGAAATTTAGTTGCAAAGCAGGGATGTGTAGGGAAAATCCGGAATAACTTGAAAGAAATACTGTATCGTGCTTCACTTCTTTGTGATGATCCTCCGATTTTGGATTGAAAAAAGAAATTCTTCAGACTTACAACCGCTCTCTCATCTATCCAAAAAGGAGAAATAAAACGCAGCAACTGCAGTCGCCACGGTTTAAATAAGAATCATGCTACCATTTTTGACACTACAGGGAAATTGATGATTTACTCCCAATTCCAGAAGTCCCCGAGTAACCATGCTATTGTATAATGCATCGTCTTTAGGGAGGATATCATGTTTGCCACTTTTTGTGACAGATCAACGAGGATAATATTAGGAGGTTAATAATTTTTACAATTTAACTTGCATTGAATCCTTCTGGCGATGCAAATGAGTTCACTGCCGTTTTTCTCTCGCTAATTCGAGCAAAATGACATCTTCTTATTTTATTCTATGAAACGGAAGGACTTCTCTGTTATTGACTCTCCTGCTTATTCATGTACATCCAAAAATGACTCCTCAGTTTCTTCGACCAATGAATGTTGTTGGGTGATTCGCAATACTCGAGAAACCTTTTGTTCATATATTAATGGGTTTTGAGTCTGGAATTGTTTTACAAGAATATCTTCGTTCATGTCTCTCTGAAACTTTATTCAGGCATGACGAACGCTGAGGTGTTGCATCAAGTGGACAACGGCTATCGCATGCCCGCACCCGCGGGTTGTCCGGGCAGATTACACGAGATCATGTTAGAGTGCTGGCGAAAAGATCCGTTAAAAAGGCCGACGTTTGAAACCCTTCAATGGAAGCTTGAGGAGTTCTTCAACCACGGTGACTCCGAATACAAAGAAGCGTCACAAGTGTACAAATGAACGAGAGAATTTAAAGCACCACTCGGTGGTGGAAATCAAAGTTTGGGCCGAGGGAGCAATGTGAAACGGTAAATTTTCAAATTGAGGGGATAGTAGGAGGCTGCATTTGTGTTTGATGCCAAGGTATTTTTCTCTATGCAAGGAATTGTGTTTGACGAGTTGGAAAGATTTTGAGAAATGTTCGAGGATATCAGGGAAATTTCCATCAAATTATCAATGGAAGTGTTTTAACAGTTCTGTAAGGATGACGATTTCAATGGATTTGCGGAAGTCTGTATTGATTTTTTTCTCATGGTGATTTGATTGTGATGTCTCTCCAAACAGTTTTGTTTCGAGTCTCAGCTGCTGGAATTTTAAATTGAGTAAAGTTGGGTTAATTACATAATCATAATATATGGTTTTCGTTTAATTTTTCATTGAGACCAGTGAGAAGCGATAATTGAATTCCGTTAGTAATACGAAACAAAATAGACTTCCATTAATGCATAACTCTTTCAGTAATATCTCACCAAAGTCGGAATTCAAGTATGTCCTCAATACTGTATGTTGTTCCTTCTGGCGGCATCCTTCTTGTTTGAATACGATCTAGTGTCATTTTTTGCCTGTCGTCGTATCAAGTTCAAGTATGTGATTGTGAAGCGATTTGCGGTCCGCTGAGACTTACCGCAGAGCTTTTTTTTTAAAGTATTGTGAGAAATTTTTGAATGGGTCCTGCGTTCTGGATTTATCTCCGTAGGCTAATTGAAAATGCTTCGCTTGAAGTGAAGATGCCAGGTGTGCGAAATTTTCTATCGTTGGAAGATCCTTCCATTTAGCATCAGCTCTATTTTTGCATGCTAAGTTTTGTCGAAGAGCGAAAAGCCTGGTACTGTACTGAACAATTTTGGAAATGATTTCCATAATGAAATGAATGTTCGTTACGTGCGAGTCGTTGTGACCCTTTTAATTATTTAAATGCCTTAATTGCTATATTCTAAATGTTTTCTTGGATTCAAGCGCGTTTTCTTCTTATTTTATTTTTTATTTTTCGGTCCTGTATTCGGAACAGACCCGCAGGTTAAACGTTTGCTACACTCAGTCTTGGAAGAACGCGTGATATAAAGGTCGAGTCAGGTCGAGGAATACTTTGCCATGTGGACTGGATTTTACCAGACTTGAGTTTGAGTCTCGAAAATTTGAAATGAACCTAAAAATGCGCGCAAAGATATTATTTCAGGCTTTTCTCGTCGTGTGAAAATAGATCTATTCAAAGGAACCGGAACAAAATGATCAGAAAGATTTTATATTTTGTCCCGTTTCTTGCCGGACCCCAATTGCCTTGACAATTCGGTGACATTTCGAGCGACAAGTATTTTTATGTTCTGTAAGATACGATTTATAAATACTTTTCGTTGCAAAGTTGGAAGGGGGGTATGCCTGGTTTCCGCGAATGCGCGATTAATGATTATACCCAGATATATTTGGTTTGAACTCGGCAGGTTCACTATTTTTCGTCGTCGAGCCTTCTGTTCATCGCGTTTTTTGAAAGGTGAAAAAAGATGGTATTAATGAAACTTGTTTAATTTCTTTTCTATCTGTAATCGATGATTAGTCCCTAGTGTTGCAGTTGTGCCTGTGTGTCTTATGTGAGAAATTTGTCAACATTCTCGCGGAGTCGTTCTTGGGTTTTAAATGGATCGTCGCATCTTCCTAATAGTGTACCTCGCAGAGAGTAGGAATACTTATTTGGGTATTATTCTTCGACGTGGAAGCTGCTAAACACGGTTGGTAGAAAAAAGAAAAAGGTATTGATGTCAATTTTCGATACTCCGGTTGCAGAGCTGCTGGAATTCTTCCTCACCATTGTCGGAAAAGGAGCACTTACCGAGAAACGACGGTGAGGTACATTATTTGATGCTTTTAACTAATCTTATCCCGATAATTTATTTACCTTAAACGAAAGTTCCATAACATGTTAGGTCTTGGTTAGCGTATTGTCTTGTGTTGATGGGCTAAGACAATTCCGCGAAACTTGTTAGTTTTTTGAAATTTTTGGATTTTGAGCATGATTATTGAAGCAGAAGAACGGAATTGGGGGAAAAAAAGTCTTCAGGTTGTGGTTATCGAGCGTAGTATCTTTCTTGACGATTGATTGACCATGTCTTCCCTCTTCTGTTAACTTCAAGGGTTCAATCAGTTCACGATCTTTCAAACCCGATATCCTGGATTCGATTCAGACCTAATTCTTTAGTTTGAGCGAGCTTCAATTTGATTTCGTATGTGACGACCGTAAAAGAGATGCAGAATGACGCCTTTGACATGGTTGTCAAATTGTTACCTTAATCTTTTTCTGAGAATTGGTGAGAAACTGAAAAGAAAAGCTGTCGTTGTCAACAATACTGTACTGTCAAGAAGTTCTGATGACTCACAAGAACGGCACATCTTTAGGAAAGGGCTTCTGGCATCGTGTTATCTGGGCCGAAATGGGTTTCCGGTGCTCATTCTCAGTGTCCAGCAACTTTATTTTATCAACTTCTTGAGCCTCGTGGTGTCTGTTTTCACTGTGTGATTTTATTTCGATTTTCAAGCTAGTGGATGGAAAATTGACTTTGAAATGCGGGGAAAGGCTTATTTTATAGGGTAAGGCACGGGGAGATCGGTGGAATGCTAAGTTACTGGATGACGATAAGGATCAATCCATCGAACTAAGACGAAGCTGTTCCAAGTCATGAATCTCAAAAGTAGAGAAATAATCGCTTTGCGTGCCATACTAATTGCATATTTTAAAAAATAGTCCAGATTTGTACACGGAGGTGTGAAATATATTTGAAAAAGTGACATATATCCGTACGAAAACATTGGGCGAAAGGCGTTCCGGCCTTTTTCATGAAGGTCTACGAAATTTAAAGAACCTGGCTACCGTATCACGTAGTGATGAAGAATTAACGCTCAATGTTTTTAAATATCATGAAAGGTGTGAGAATTTCGAAAATCGCCGTGTCACGGAAAATCTTGTACTCTTATTAGATTCTGTTCCGGAACTGCCGTCATCGATTTTTGAATTCGTACCGGATTCTTTTTTGTCGGCCTCTTTTACTGGTGTATGTCTGCTTCGATGCTCTTTTTTTTTTTTTTTAGTTCCTCCATCGGAATGGTGATCTGATCTTCGTATTAAGTGGTGTTATTCGTCATGGGGAACCGATTCAGTCGTGATAGACGGAGTTCCAAAGACAAACTGCTTTCAAGAGTTTCAACCACACCGAAGAGCAGTGTCAGTCTCAGTAACGCTGGGCTTGTAACGAAGGATTTTTTGCATGAACCAGTGACGGAATCTTGGAGAGAAGTAAACGACCAGAATCTCATGCCGAAGATGCCCGCATTGCCACAGCCTGAACCAGAACCAACTATTGTCACTGAAGTGTTTGTCGCTTTGTATCATTACGATTCTCGCACCGATGAAGATTTAAGCTTCAAGAAGGGGGAACATCTTGAAATACTAAACGACTCGAAGGGTGATTGGTGGTTCGCCAGGAGCAAGGCAACAAAGCTTGACGGTTACATTCCTTCCAATTACGTCGCCAAGCTGATGTCAATCGAAGCTGAACCGTAAGCTTTCATTTTTTTCAGGCGTTGAAATTATCGAAAATCGAGTTCGGAAGATGATATCATCGGAACGAAAATATCTCCATCAAGATGCATCATTATATCATCCAATGCCTTCTGTATATACCTCTTCTAGATTCCCGGTTAGGATATATGGAACTCACACTTCCAAATTTTTCTTGTTTTGAAATTTTTTGCGGTTTCCAAGCCAATGGAATTTCAGTGATCGGGAATATAATTTGGGATGATTCTGAATTCATTGGAATTACAGTATTAAAAATTGACCTTTGCGTCTCCGTAATAATGCACTACACAAATGCGAAGATATTTTCGCTGAATTGAGAAATATACCGTTATAATAGAAGCTTACATTTTTTCATACAGATGGTATTTCGGGAAAATCAAAAGAATTCAAGCTGAGAAGAAGCTCTTGATGCCGAATAACTTCCACGGAGCGTTTTTAATTCGTGACAGTGAAAGTCGCAGGAATGATTATTCTCTTTCTGGTGAGTTGAGAGGAAGACGTATACGCATTTTGACTTACAATAATGTAATGGTATTTGTGGGATCCGTCCTGTTGTATTGCCCCCCTTAATTCATTGATTTTCGTGCAAAAATGGATACCTTTTTGTATTTTCTACCGAAGAAGTTAATCCACATTTTGTGACATGCACTATTTTTAGTCCGTGACGGGAAAACGGTGAAGCATTATCGGATTCGTCAGCTTGACGAAGGTGGGTTTTCCATTTCTCGGAAAACAACGTTCCAAACGCTGCAGGAGTTGGTGGATCATTACTCCCGCGGCGCCGATGGATTAGGCGTCAATCTTCAGCACCCTTGTGTACAAGTACTGTATTGTTTACCCGACGAATTCGTGACTTTGTACAGTATGCATGCACCTAATACAAACTGCAATTGCAGGTCGAAAAACCGAACACTGCCGACCTCTCGGTCACCACTCGGGACCAATGGGAAATCGATCGGGATTCGTTAAAGTTTGTGAGGAAATTAGGCCAGGGCCAATTTGGGGAAGTTTGGGAAGGCCGTTGGAATAAAACCACGCAAGTTGCAATAAAAACCCTGAAGGAAGGTTCGTTGAACTGTCCAGTTTCATTTTTATGTTTGTACTGTCCTGAAAGAGTACATTTCTTTTGATTGAATAAAGTCGACTACAGAAACTTGAAGTGTGCTATTGCCGTCTGGATATCTTGATTTTTGTTTGCGAATTGATTTGGCGGATGAAAAGACGACACACGCGGAAAGCGAACGAGTGAGCGCTAAATTTCGGGCCATCCGTTGTGATTTTTTATTTCTTTCCTGTCGTTCAGGATTGATGTAATGCTAAATTTATTGAACCCTATTTTGATAAAAGTGTTTGCGTGGTTTATACATATTTTAATAGGAATCTAGATTGCTTGTAAATTTACCATTATGCAATTTACTGACCATCGGAGGTTTTCAGCAGTTCGAACCGTGGGATTTGGTTTTATTCTCGTGTTTAAAATTTCAGTATCGAGCGTTGAATATAACTTTATTGGTCGAAATTTATTAAGTACTTTTGTTCATCACCTAATGTATTCTCTTCGCAGGAACGATGGACCCAAAGGACTTCCTGGCTGAAGCTCACTTGATGAAAAAGTTGAGGCATCCAAAGTTAATTCAATTGTATGCTGTGTGTACGCTGGAAGAACCGATCTTCATTGTCACCGAATTGATGTGTAATGGTTCTCTCTTGGATTATCTCCGAGGTATTTGATCTCATCAAAATTTGTTCTCTCATTACGACATGACATGACTCATGCATCTTTCGATATGCTCGTGATGATCGTTTCGCTGTGAAGTAAACGTCTGCCAATATGTGCGAGCAAGTGTCACTGAAGTAGAAAAATTATCCCTTTCTGAATTGCTATTGTTGAATACTGTACCTTAGATTCGTGTGACCGCTATAGATTCAGTCTGCTCGAACAGTGATTATTGTTAATCCGGGCAAGAGTTTTTGTCTCTTGCTTGAAGTTTATTCAAGATATAGTATTTTCGGGTGAGAGAAGAGTGAAAATGTTTTCCGTTTGTTAGAGATTTTGCGTGATCAGCTGAAAGATATTTTGATTGAATTAATTCACTCGCATTATTAAGCCGAGTATGGAATCTCGTTCTGGAATTTTATTTGATTAATTAATTCATACTTAGTATTGATTCATCTCTAAAAGGTATGTTGAGAATTTCTATCTTCTATATGTTGTGGATTTTGGTCGAATCTATGAATCAACGCTTCAGTATTTGCTCTGGTTTCATGAAATTCGCATGATTAATTTTATGGGATGTTGGGCATTCTGAGTATTGCACTGGACGAATTGCACCGATTTGAATTACGTGTGACCTGTTAAATTGAACTGTTGCTTAGATGCCGTTCTTGTAACTAATCTTTTCGTTTTGGATCTGAAAATGTCAATGCCTAACCGGTTTTACTGACTGTCGCTAATCGGTGCGTAACGAATTTTTTACCCCACGTTACTCTCGATACACAGGAAAAGGTCGATCGTTGAGTCATAACCAGTTGATAGATATTGCTGCCCAAGTAGCAGCTGGGATGGCATATTTGGAAGCTGAAAACTTCATTCACCGAGATCTGGCTGCAAGGAATATTTTGGTCGGAGAAAACAACAATGTTAAAATTGCGGACTTCGGTCTCGCTCGTCTTGTCAAAGTATGTGTGATTCTATCTCATTTATTTTATAATTACAGAAAAATTTCATTACTACAAGTGCCACTTCTGTACAACCAAGTTTTCAGTATGACAAACTCTTTTCCAAGTCCCGGCGGAAATCGTAACAGTACAGTATAATAAACTTTCTTGAGGAACATGTGATTTTCCCAATGAAAAATCTCCTGTGTCAGGCACTGTCTCAAATTTCCCATGCAAAATGTGACGGTGACTAGATTTTGGGACATAAATGCAAGGTAATCAAAAAATGAATCCAGCAAAACTCACGCGAAAAGGGGTTTTGGATGTTTTAGCAACCCTACTAATGCCTTAACAACTGTAGGCTTTTTTGTACATCCACCCCTACAAATCTGTGCAGGAAATCCTCAGAAAAACTTGAAGTCCTCAAAAAGTTCTAGCATCTACCTGTTCTACAGAGTAAAAGATTGTCATTGATGTTTTAATTTCTCTTTGAAGATCAGTTTTTCAAAACTGGATTGACATCTGAAGAGGCCATAATAGGAAGATCTTGCAAATACTGTGTGCAGGTTTAATTTAAAACAATCTTCCCAGTCAATAATTTTGAAACTATTCTTGAAAGAATTTGTTATAACAAACTTTCTCTGAAGTCCCCATGAGTTTGTTGTAACGAAATTTTACTGTATGCATGCTATATTTCATCCTTGCTCGAAGAGGCGATCAAATATGTGTTTCTTGAAGAAAAACTAGCGTATGTTTGAATTTCTTTCCCTCCTTCGTTTCGTAGGAGGAGGTATACGAGGCACGAGCGGGAGCGAGATACCCAATCAAGTGGACTGCTCCAGAGGCTGCCAATTATTCCGAATTCTCCATAAAATCTGATGTGTGGTCCTTCGGCATTTTGTTGACAGAGCTCATCACCTATGGTGGTCTTCCATATCCTGGTTAGATGGAGTTTTTCTTGCCTTTTCTTGACTGTTTTCGTGCTAGTGATAGCATTGTTGTCGGCATCACCCATCTCGTTCTTCCTTTTAATTCCAGGCCGAGATTTCATCTACCACATTCTTCCTTGTATCAGTGGGTTTTCTACCACGAAACCTGAGTACAGTATTCTGTTTGCTATCTGATACTGTATTGCTGAGGACACGCGATTCCGTGGAATTATTGTATTTTAGAGATTCTTATGGGAGTGGTGCACTCATTCAACTCATTGTAGCATATTTTACCTGCGTTCGTTTTTTTCTGCTTTCAAGGGAAATGGGGAACTTCTTGGGTTCAGTGTTATCTTGAAATGGGCGCTCCTTCCGATCTTACTCTGATAATTCGAATACCAAATTGGCTGTAATGGAAATGTTATATTCTTCCTAATTAAAATGATGGCGCTCTGGCTCCAGATGAAAGAAGCTGTTATGAGTTGACCTTCTATCGCGTAAGGATGCGTTTTTCGATGGTGGAAGGTTGACGAACCCATCGACTCAATATCTCAATTTTCAATTGTCTAGCTTTTGAGTGCCGCACTTCAGCATTTTGTGACGATCTTCCAGTTGTGATGATGCAGGAGGTTTATCAAATTCTTGTGTGTCGCTGACCAATTTTTCGTCGTATTCGGTGTAAACCAAGTGATACCCTTTGTATCGATTTTTATTTGTTAACTTTGTATCATTTTACTAACAGGTAAAGTACCGGTACGATGAAGTCAGAATTTGGTAGAATTCTGTGATTTATTCGGAAGACGGAAAAATCATGCTTCTCTTTGTGTTCATCCTTCGATTTTGGCTTAAAAATTGGCTGAGACACGACTGTTCTAAAGGTGTTAGCTTTTTTTTTTTTGAATAGCTGGAGCCGATGAGCCGACGCACTTTTTCATGCTGAGACCCTTATAGGTTGAAAAATTAAAGATATACTGTACACCGACACTCTCAAAATTCAACTATAGCAACTGTGTTGATTGGTAACGCTTTGTCCGATTGCAGTTCTTTAAAAATTTGTTATTTCTATGACAAATTCCAAAATCATGGAAGATGATTTGGATAAACAACAAAGATCGGTACATCACGCACACTTCAACCTGCACGAAATTCTACTGGTGTACAAACTTGTTCAGAATATTTTTTCATGTTCTATTAAGCAGAATGACATGTTTTCCTTATTTTAAACATTGGAAGGACTTCTCTGAAAACGGATGTGGGGTTTGATATAGTTTCTGTCGGTTTTTTGATGAAGGAAAGGTATTAAGTAATTCGCCAAACTCGATAAACTGTTTGTTCCAATAATAATTCGTTTTTCTTGGAATTTGTTAACGGGACACCCTTCGTTCATGTTTCGCTGAAACTTTATTCAGGCAGGACGAACGCAGAGGTGTTGGATGATGTGGAAAAAGGATATCGCATTCCTTGTCCCGCCGGTTGTCCGGGCAGATTACACGAGATCATGTTGGAGTGCTGGCGAGAAGATCCGTTAAAAAGGCCGACGTTTGAAACTCTGCAATGGAAGCTTGAGGAGTTCTTCAACCACGGTGATTCCGAATACAAAGAGGCGTCATAGGGGCACGAATGAGCAAGATAATTTATATCAAAGTTTGGGCAGAGGGAGCAATGTGAAACGGTAAATTTTCAAATTAAGGGGATAGTAGGAGGCTGCATTTGTGTTTGATGCCAAGGTATTTTTCTCTATGCAAGGAACTGTGTTTGACGAGTTGGAAAGATGTTGAGAAATGCTCGAGGATATCAGGGAAATTTCCATCAAATTATCAATCGAAGAGATTTAACAGTTCTGTAAGGATGACGATTTCAATGGATTTGCGGAAGTCTGGATTGATTTCTTCCTGATGGTGATTCTACTCTGATGCCTCTCCCAAGCGGTTTTCTTTCTTTGCCTTTTGGCGCTGAAATTTTCAAATGATTGAAGTTTGGTTACTGATTTACAGTAGAATTCGGTGCGGAGTTGGAAGAACAATATGCGTGGTTTTTGCGAATGCGTGATTATTATTTATGCCTAGAAATATTTGGTTTGAACTCTTCAGGTTCACTATTTTTCGTCGTCGAGCCCTCTTTTCATCGCGTTTTTTGAAAGGTAAAAAAAAGATGGCGATCGTTAAATTTGCTTCATTTTTTCCCCAACTGTAATCGATTATTAGTCCCAAGTGTTCCAGTTGTGCTTGTGTTATCGTCTCGGAGACATTTATTCAAAATTTTCATGACGTCATTCGTCAGTTCCAGTTCGAGTTTCTGCACTTTTTGTTTACAATACTTCGCGTAGAAAACGAATAATTCTTCGGGCACCATTCTCCGACGTAGAAGCTTCGGAACTCGGTTGAAGAAATTAATGTTCAATATTTTCAAAAATTCGATTACGTAGCTGCTCTAATAGTTCATTGCAGTTGCAGTCGGAAAAAGATTAATTTTCCGAGAACGACGGTGAGGTTCTACATTTTGATGGTATTTTAACGAAGTTCCTCTTGAGCGTTTATCCTCAATTTCTCTTACTGAGAATTTATTTGCCATGAACGTAGTTCCTCAACATTTCGATTCGTTTATAGCGATTTTTTTCGTGGATGGATGAAGAAAGGTTTGAAAAAGTTTTGACGGTTTTATGAATATTTTCATAAAACCGTCCTTCAGTCGTGAACATTTCGAAATTCTTCAAGTATTTCAAAAGGCTAAAACATGAAAAAGTGAATTCTTTCTGCGGTTATCAAGCGTTGACAGCATCACGTGGTATGTTTCGTTTCGATGACCGTGTGTTTCCGCGTCTGTGTACTTCAAGCGTTCAACGAGTTCATGCTCTTGTAATCTAGATTTTTTTTTTTTCATTCTGTAAAATAAGTACGGGGGTTAAATTTCTTGACTTGTGAGCTTAAAATGGATCTTGTGTATGACGATTGTGAAGTTGATACAGAATGACGTCTTTGGCATGGTCGTTAAATTGTTCCCCCAATATTTGCTGGAGGATCAGTTGAAAATTTCGAAGAATATTCGTGTTTGTCAGCAGTGCTGTACTGTCAGGAAATCGTGATGATTCACAAGAACGTCACATCTTGAGGCAAGTTCTTTTGTCCTTGTGTTATCTGTGACAATTCCGGTGCTCGTGCTCAGTGCGTAGCGACTTCGTTTTATCAACTTAGTGACTCTTGTGATGTCTCTTTTTGCGGCGTTGTACGACTTCGATTCTCAAATCAACGGGCAATTGACTTTCAAGTGCGGGGAAAGGTTTATTTTATTGGATAAAGCATGTGGAGATTGGTGGAATGTGAAGAGACTGAATGATGAGAAGGAAGGGTTCATTCCATCAAACTACGTGGAAGCTGTTCCAAGTCATGAATCTCAAGAGTGAGTGTGCAAATAGTCGCTTTGAGTGCTCTAGAAAATCTGAAACGTTCTTTCAAAACCGAAGTTCTGCACGGTAATGCTGTCATGGGTACTGGAGTTGCGTTCTTGTTCCGCTTGTTGTTCCTTTATTTTGTGTGTAATCAATTATTTCTGATGTGTTGGGTTTCTCGTCCCAGCTGACGCCTGCGTGTTATTAACCTATCCTAATTTTTTCAGGTGGTATTTCGGTGATATTTCAAGGTCTTCCGCTGAAAATCTTTTGCGAAAGCCTCAGAATTCAAAGGGATCTTTCTTGATTCGGAACCAGCAAAGCAAAGGACACAAGTTCACACTTTCTGGTAATTCGGGAGAACTGGATATTTTCGTCATGTTTACATTGAAAATCAATCACACTTGTTTTGACGCAGTCTAATTTTCTTCATATCGAACTTTTTCTTCCATAAGTTCTTTTTTTTTTAAATTCCCTGTAATACGACTTCTAAGTGAACTGATCATGTACTTGAAAGATTGTTGATTGAACTCTGGAAACTTATGTCATCTGAACAAATGATATTCCTGAGTCTTAATCTCAATGTATTTCTTCGTTTTTCTTAGTTCGCAAGAATGATGATGCCGTTCAGCATTACAGAATTTTCCAGGAAGGAAAGAAGGAGTCTTACGTTTTGCTAAAAAAGTCGTTTGACACGCTCGTTGATCTGGTCGAGTGTCTTTCAACGATTGATGATCCCGCTTATCCGAAGCTATGTAGACCGTGCTTCCCGGTGCGTCTAAAATTCTGTGTTTTGGAGTTGGTGCACAAATTAATCTCTTGTAGGATACTACGGTTTTCAAGTCTAAATATCGTTCGGTTATCTGTAAGTTGTTCAGCGAAACAACTTTTGTAATTTATGCTTCATGGCGTTCAAGGATTCCGGAAACGCAGACCATGCCAGACCAGCAGATTCGAAAGACCATTGGGAGATTGATAGATCCGAAGTGATTCTTACGAAACCCTTGGGCGAAGGGCATTTCGGCATTGTGTATGAAGGTGTGCTGAATGGAAAACAAGTTGCCGTAAAAACTTTTAAAGTGGGTAAGTGGGAGCGTCAGCGAAATTTTGAAAGTTGAAATTGCATTTATTTTCGTGACGGACATTTTGGAGAGTACTTTTTTGTGTGACGAGAAGTGCTGGCGTTGGAAAATTTTTGATCGTTACGGACGGTTCCAGCGGAAATGAGACGAGTTACTCGAATGAACGGCCAGTGAAATTGTAGAATTCGTGATTCTACAGTTGATTTTTCTGAAGGAATTTGGGAATGAATACATTTTTCTGTTTAGGAAATTCTGCGGAAGAAGAATTTCTTGCCGAAGCCAAGTTGATGAAAGATCTGACGCACCCGAACCTGCTGAAGTTGATTGCGATCTGTACTTCCGGAAGACCCATATATATTGTTCTAGAGTTCATGGAGAATGGGTGTCTTCTGGACTATATGAAGAAACGAAAAGGTACTTTTCTGATCCTGCTTATAGTGTCGTTGAAGCTTGATTAAAATCTCAGACCAGTTGTGTCATGTTCAAACAAGCTAATCCATTTTCTCTGTTTCCCCCCGAACGTGCGCTGCAGCTTGAATCATTTTTCCCAAGTATTTTGCACGATGGACTGTACGAAGTTCTTTCGGTTGAAACTGCTATGTCTCAGAAGCGTTGATACTGAAAAGCAAAATTTCTGTTCAGGTTAAAATTCACGCCGGAATGTCACGAAAACCACTTCGTCCTTCATGTTTTCCATATTTTGGTTGCAGACTTGAAGAAAAAATCCCTGTGAAAAAATAGTGACGAACTCTCACAAATGCTGATTTACAGTATTTCATGCTAGATTTTGAGGTTTTCTGGAGAAATTTTTTTTAAACTGGGCTTGAATATTAAAATATTCTACCGAATTGTGGTCTGCTCATTTTTGAATCTTGATAACCGTGAATCTTTTTCATATGACAGAAAAACGGAAGCCTCTGTCTACTTGCGAAATGTGCAGTTTTGCTGCTCAAATCGCCAGTGGAATGGAATACTTAGAAGCTAGAAACTATGTGCATTGCGATCTAGCTGCTCGAAACATCTTGGTCGACCAGAATGAGTCTGTAAAAATCGCCGATTTCGGTTACACCAGGCTGGTTTCTGTGAGTAGATCTCGTCGTTTCAGCCGCCCGCTTGCAGGTTTAGTGATGCAATTTTTCATTGCTCCTTTGTCATCAACAGCATATGGCGTGAATCGTTTTCATTGTTAATTTTTTCTTCGGTCCTTTTCATGGCTTTACTTATTACTGTCGTTGAAACTAAATTACCCTCCAGGATGAACAGAAACACGTGATTTTATCCTCCGACATTCCTATCAAGTGGACTGCACCGGAAGCAGTGAAGAACAAAACTTTTTCCACGAAATCTGACGTTTGGTCGTACGGAGTTTTGCTATGGGAAATCGTAACTTGTGGTGACTTTCCCTACGCAAGTAAGCATTTTGACCTACGACTCATTTATTCGACGGTCGTATGATAAATGAGGAGCAATTGTTCGCTGATGGATCTGTGCAGTTGTGAACCATGATGAACTTTAATACTGCATTTATCATGCGGTTAGCTTCTTTTGTCGTGCTCCTCAAGTACTTGCTAAAGTTTACGACGATATAATGCGTGTGATTCGTTCATTTTAAGATTGTATTATTAGAAATGAAATTTAAGTACAGTTTTTTGCTTTCTTCAGAACGCACGTAGTTGGAGAGTTTTATCTGATATTAAAAGCTCGATAATCAGAAAGTCGGTGCAGTAATTATACAGCGATTTTTCAATGCACACCAACTGTCTGTCTTGTCTTGATACAGTATTCCGATCAGACATATCCTCAGTTTTCTTCTAACTTTTGCATTTTTTTCTTTTCAGAGATGAATAACAAGCAAGTTGTATCACAACTGATTCGTGGTTACCGTATGCCAAAACCACTTCGTTGTCCAGACGAATTGTACAGGATCATGTTGGATTGTTGGAACATCGTCCCCGAAAGTCGACCGGATTTTCGTATGTTGAAAATGGACCTGGATACATTGTGTGCATATGACTTCAATTGCTGAACTGTCGAGGCTACATTTAATCGCAGTTTGGATTCCGTCGCGCAGGAGTGAATTTCAAAGCAGTTGTATAATCACACACTTTACTGGCTTCATTTTCCTTACAAAATTTCATGAATAAATACTTTCTCAATGCGCAAATTGCGCATTTACTCACAGTTTACGTGACAAGTTCATACAAATAAGTTCAGTTCAATTTCTCGGAAATGAATTTCTTACGAAAAAGTATTTAAGATCCTGGAATAAACCCGTGAAGCTTTCGAGATGAGTTGTGGAAACAAAATTGCTGCAGAAGGATAAATAAATTACGGTCTTGTGTCACTGATGTGCGCTTTCCTTTTTGTTGGAGTCGAGGGAAGCATTTGATGGCTTTTGTAATCCCAAGGATACGGTGACATGATTTGATTTGTACTGCTTTGATAATTTAATGGTCGAATGGTTTGACTATTTCTACTGTCAGCTGGTTTCAGTGTAGTCACCCATGACGGTTGAAAGACATTTTGGTGCGAGAACAAGTCTGTGCTTTGCACAATATCTTCTTGAACTTGTTTGTTTCTGATTTGGTCCGGATGAATTCTGTCTGCATCAGCAACCTGTTTGAGCATTCGATTTTTGAATTGTCTATTTTGAAAATTGGAGTGATGTCCACTGGATCGACGTCGGAACGTTCCTCGTCGTCGGTTCCTCGTCCTGTTTCGAGTTGTTCTCGTCTTCTTGTTCGCCGGCAAATTTTGCTTGAAATTCTGCTTTGCTTTTGTGCCTTGTCTCAAACGTTTCCTCAATCTATCGTCTTTTTGTCGAATGAATTTCGTCGTTTGTGTACGACGCTTGAGCTTGAACAAGGAACTTAATCGCTGGGTTCCAGCTTGAAAGAACCCTCGCATCACGGAGTTCCATCTCGCAGCTATGTTCGAAACTGCTTCTCGTCTCCTCGCTTGAAGAACTTGTAATCCGACCTCCTGGGGTGATGCTACGGCAAGCAGGGTCGTTGGTTCATCGTCCACTTCTCGAAAATCGAAAACGTCGTCGTCGATGAATTCCCGATTGAATTGAGGACCGAAAGGACCTGGGCCGTTGCCTTGACCCAGTCGGGCTGCAACTGGGATTGCGATAGCTAGCGTGATAGCACTGGTGACGACTTGTGACAGTAAGGAGATTGCTGTTCCCAGAGGACCAGCTATGATGCTCGGGATTAGGCCTCCGATCGGCAGAGAACCCGGTGGACCCGTGGGACCTACGGCGCCGTCTGATCCTCGACTTCCCTTGTCGCCCTTGGGTCCTGTGGCTCCAGTGGAGCCCTTTGCACCATTGGTTCCTGCGTTACCCTTGGCTCCTGTGGCGCCTGTGGGTCCTGCCATGCCTAAAAGACTCGATCGGTGAGTGCATTTTCGAAGACAGGTCTTCAAACTAGAAAACCATCTCTAATAATGTATGCCGTTCTACCTTTCAAAAGGTTAATGATTCAGAATCTTGAATAATAATTGTAGACGCTGCCTTAATTTATAGATTTATTCTGCATTCATGTATTATCCGTCTTTGAATCAACACACACACACGATACGGAAGCTGTTTTATTAGTTAAATTATTAATGAATTACAGTATGTGAATGGGTAGTTTCATCGTTAGTTAATACTATACTGTATTATTGTGGATGGACTAAGTTAGTTGGGTGTATTTCGAGGTTAGATATACTCGTATGTGCTACTTAACGTTAGTTGAGTTACTCGGGTACGATGGTCAAGTTTACCATACGGGTTGAGTCAGGATGTTAGTTCTTTCATTTCTTACTGCCGGAACTTGAGAAAAACTTTCTTATACTGAAAATGTTATTGCAATGGTATTTGTTTCAACGAGATTTTACTTCAGTAAAATAAATGAGCTGATCATCTAAGCATGAGATATTTTGGTGTACTGTAAAGTGTGATTACGTTAGTCTGGTTTCAAACGCGAGAAAGAATTTAAATTTACTGATGGGGACATGACGACGACTAACTAGATTTCTACAATAAAATTACCTTTCATTCCTGTGTCTCCTTTCATTCCTAGGCTTCCTTTGTCCCCTTGCATCCCTGTAGAAAACGCAGTGAAGTTCTCAAAATGAGTGATTAATGAACGTCGTAAACGCGTAGAATCTTTTTTTTCATCAAACCTTTTAGTCCTGTAGGTCCTATTTCTCCTTTGATTCCCTGGATGCCTTGTGACCCTGTTGAAATAAATAAATGAATAAATCAATGTAATCTCAGAAATCGCATGAATGTAATGAGCGTACCTTTTGATCCTTCAGAGCCCTTGGTTCCACCATTACCTGTGATAAAGCGAAGTCGTATTCAGTAATGAAACATTAATGGCTTGAATTGCAGTGTTCAAAACGCACCTTTGTCTCCCTTTGGTCCTTGGGATCCTGTGGGACCTTGCAATCCTGTTGCGCCAGTGTCCCCTTTGATTTGTGCAACATTATTATTTGAGCCGTTAACCCAGCCAGTGATCATTTATACATACCTTTGTTGCCTTGGCTTCCTTTTGATCCATTGAGTCCATTGGTTCCGGCGTTTCCTGAAGAAAGATTCGTTTTGTATATTACTGATCGTGCTGATATAGTTCTTGATCAAAACGTCCGTTTAGTTTACCTTTGTTCCCTTTGTCACCTTGAATGCCTGCATTTCCCTTCAACCCCTGCAAACCTTTCAGACCTGTTGGATTTGAAAATGTTCGTTTTCGGTTGAAGATACGGTTTGGGTCGACATTCAATTTAGTTTTACAGTATTTAGTTCACCTGTATCTCCTTTGAAACCTTTCGGTCCTGTGCTGCCTGTGGTACCTTTTATCCCATCGTTACCTGTGGAATTAATCGATTCGCAGTTCACAGCATTGTTCGAGACAAGTGTGAAAGATGGTGATTTTTCCGCGAGTTGTTCTTTCACCTTTCAATCCTTTGGTTCCATCTGCGCCTGTCATTCCTTTGTTGCCCTTGTTACCTTTAGGTCCTATATTCGGACGGAAAGGGAAAACGTGTGTTGAAATTTTGTAGATTATTCAAGCACAATTTTTTCTCATCATGTACCTTCGGGTCCAGCTGCACCACCTTTACCGGTATCTCCCTTGAAGCCCTTCGAACCTTTGCTTCCGGTTGTTCCCTGAATTCCTTTCATACCCTTATCGCCCTTTAATCCCGTTGTTCCTTTTATTCCTTGCTGACCAACTTCTCCCTTTAGACCTGTCATTCCTTTTGCTCCGTCCAAACCTGCTGTTCCTTTGTTTCCTTGTAGTCCTTTTGGTCCTGTCATTGCATATTTTAATTAGTTTTGAAATGAAATACAGTGTATTGAAGTATTTTTTGTTCACCGGTCAGTCCCAGCTCTCCCTTTTGGCCTTTTGTGCCTGTCTGACCTTTGATACCGGTTGTGCCTTTGTCACCCTTGTTTCCTGTTTGAGGGAAAAGGGTAATTTAATTTGGTTTGAAATTCTGTTTCGTTTCTTGATCATTCTCGGAGGATTGATGTGGAGGGTTTCTTACCGTTTGTTCCAGACATTCCTTTGTCTCCCTTGAAGCCTTTGGTTCCCTGTGGGCCTGTCGGGCCAGTGTCACCTTTGTTACCTTTTCCACCTTTGGTTCCATCTACTCCCTTGGTTCCTGTGGTTCCCTTGGGTCCCACGTCACCCTTGAGACCTTTTGGCCCGATGGGACCTTCTGCTCCGGTGGATCCGGTGGAACCTTTGAATCCCTTGTCTCCCTTTACTCCGGTTATGCCCTGGATGCCTTGTAGTCCCGTGGTTCCTTTCAATCCTATTTCTCCCTTTTGTCCTGAAAACGTTTTTCATTTACATTATTTGCAAGTTTTTGGATGTACTGATAAATTTTAATACAGTAGGGTATATACCTTTGAGGCCGTTGGCACCTGTCATTCCCTTGTCTCCTTTCGGACCCTTTGCTCCTAAAATCCACGTGTGACGTCAGATTCAAGTAAATTTGTTTCTCTGTTTCATCGTTCGTATACATTACCGATTGCTCCAGTTGTGCCTGTGGTTCCTTTTGGCCCGACTTCACCCTTCGTTCCTAATGCATACAATTTTTAGCGTTACTTAATTGCTGAGTCTGAAAAATAAAATCGGTGAAATTTTGATGTACCTTTTGGGCCGACTGCTCCTTTCACGCCAATTTCACCTGAGATGGAAATTGTTTTGCGTTAGGTTTCGAAGTTCTTGCTGATTTTGTAATCGAAAATCATTACCCTTATTTCCTGTGAGACCCTGTATCCCCTGTTCGCCTTTCAATCCTCCAGTACCTTTGTTTCCTGTATGGGGTGAAAGCATTGTTTTCCATCAAACGGAATTCTTGATATGAATGTAAGTTTGAGTTTAACAGACTCACCTTTTAGACCTTTGAGACCTATTTCTCCCGTCATGCCTTTATTGCCCTTGTCACCTAGAAATAGATGCAAAAAATTCAGGGAATTACTGTCCGTGAAGTATTTGTCTTTCACTTTACCTTTCAAACCGGTTGCGCCAGTTGTCCCTTGTAAACCTTTCAAGCCTATTTCTCCCTTTTGGCCTGCAATAAATACATATTTTTTCGTAGATGCAATTATGGATTTTTCATCTTATCGTTTTGAGGCATTACCTGTTAAGCCCGTGATTCCTTGAATTCCCTTTTCTCCCTGGTTTCCTTTAACCCCGGTTGTGCCTGGAAAATATTTTAGAATTTCATTCGTGTTGCATTTTTATAGAAAGAAGCCAAGGCATATTCACCTTTAAGGCCTTTAGGCCCAACGTCCCCCTTGAATCCTTTGTTTCCCTGTGGACCTGTTGGGCCTAAGAAATACAATTTTTGAAAATTTTCCGAAAAAATGTTTCGCGTTCTTTTTTTTTCAAACCTGTTATGCCTTTATCCCCGTTGACGCCTTTGATTCCTTGAGGCCCAGTTGCTCCTTTCAAACCGGTTTCGCCTTTGTTGCCTATTTTTAAAAATAATTTTACGATGATGATGAAGTGGAGTGTTCGCAAATCATTGCAAGATATTGACGAACCTTTTATGCCTTTTTCTCCGGTTTGACCTTTGATTCCTTGCTCACCCTTCCCGCCCGTATTTCCCGTTATTCCTTGAACATTTGAAAAACACCTATTTTTATAGTCCAGGAAAATTGCATGCATGAGGACAATTTTCTTACCTTGGGATCCAGTTGATCCTTTGATTCCTTTTGTTCCTGCGGTTCCAGAGGGACCAATTTCTCCTGGAATGGCATTTTATGTGATTCGATGAGTAAACAGTATAAATAAAGTAACTTACGCCAGTCGCAATATTAAAAAAAACCGGAATATTCAAGAAAAAGTAGGATATTGTTTTTACCTTTGTTACCCTTGAATCCCTGGTCACCTTTGATACCCTGGGTGCCTTTGGTTCCAGCTGTTCCTTTGGTTCCAGTATCACCTATGAGTATGAAGTTTTCGAATGATGATACAGTACAACCCCGTTAAGACGACCCCCACCCTCAGCGACCACCAATTCATTTTGAAAGACAAATCTTCCCTGATGATTATTTCATAACATTGGAAACCCCTATAAAACGCCAACTGCCATCCCCCAAAATTATTGACAACTTAAATAGGCTTTTATCAATTAATTTTTTTTCAATACCCCGCCAACATGGTACAAGCTTATATGAGAGGAAAATAGTCCACTTGCGCCAACAGATGACAATTTATTTCTTGGAAACCGTCCTTAATAGGCATACTATATGCAGAAAATAAGGAATAGCAGCATAATAATTTAATTTCATATTATACTTGATTTTCAAAGTACAGTATGGTGTTTTGTTCTTTTTGATAAATCGCCAACCACTTTAAACAGCCAACTGCATGTTAAATTGCTAAAAACATCATGGACAAATGTTGGTGACTTATTGAGGTTTGACAGTACTGTACAGTATATCAATCATACCATGATTAAAAGCGTGACAAATCATTTTAGAGAGGTCAGTGCAGAAAATATTACAGCACTTTAAATAAAGTTTTCTAACTCTGGATTGAACTTTCAAGTTTCTGGTAGGATTGCAGTGTAGGAGAACCTCTTAAAGGTTCCCTCAAAGACCAGTGAAGGTCAATTATTCTGGTTAACCTCATTACCTTCTGGAATGAGATGCAGTTGGCTTACTCTGAACCAAAAGAGAGCATAATAAACCTATAATCTGTATTACCGGTGGCAGCGGTTCTCTTTCAAGTTGAAAAATCCAAGATATATTTCATTTATAGCTTCATTTGTTGAAAACGTGACGTACAAATTTTACTAATGTGGAGGAATTGATTTCATATTCTCACCTTTGATGCCTTTGGGACCAGTTAGGCCAATGGGTCCAGTATTTCCAGTGGAACCAATTTCACCTTTCATGCCCTTGTCACCCTGAATACCTTGGGTGCCCACTCCAGGTGTGCCTTTGTCACCCTTGCTGCCCTTGGTACCACCGGTGCCTGTAAGGCCCTGAGGCCCAATTTCACCCTTGCTGCCCTTGGAGCCTTTGCCCCCAGTTGCGCCATTGGTACCATCAGTCCCTTTGACTCCTGGTGCACCCTTCAAGCCCTTGGGGCCTTCTGCACCCGTCGGACCTGCGTTTCCTTTCATTCCTTTGTCACCTTTTGATCCATTTATTCCATTTGTGCCTGGTGTGCCTGTGGTTCAGAATTGAGTAAGTGTAAAAATGAGGTGTGAACTCATTATTTGGAATTTTTGCAATCATTACCTTTGTTCCCTTTGTCTCCTTGGATCCCTTGTGGCCCCGTGGAACCTTAATAAAATTATGAAAATGTTTGAAATGTCTGACTATGTTGAGGTTTCCCTGTGAGATAGCTCACCTGTGGTTCCTTTCGATCCTGGTGTTCCCTTATCACCTTTGCCACCATTAGCTCCAGTTGAACCTATGTATTCAAATGTTTTATTATTTCGCCTGAAACTGACGAAAATTTTATCGCGCTTTGTGGACTAATTGAAACGTGATTACAGTATTGCAGGGTGTTTCCTCTTTCGAATGTTGTCGAACTAATTCCAGTTGATCTCTACTGTGAATCCTTGATTCTGATTTGACAAAGGAAAGTACCAAATTCTTACCTTTCACTCCAAGATCTCCCTTTTGTCCTTTATCTCCTGAAAAGACGAACATTTCGTGATTTTATTGTTCTCAAATTTTTGTTGGATGAAATTTGCTCCAACTAACCTTTTGGTCCGATTGGGCCGCCTAAATCTCCCTTTGCACCTTTTGCGCCTTTTGCACCCGCGTCGCCCGGGACTCCTTTCATGCCGAGATCCCCTTTTGCACCTGGTAATTAGCAAGTTTTGCGGGTTTATTCGCGTGATGAGGATTTTCAGAAACCTTTGAGGATCATATACCTTTAGCCCCATCTAGTCCTTTGATGCCTATACCTGGAGTTCGGAGAAAATTCGAAACGTATTAGTGGCGAGGAGGATATAATTTTTAATGTATGCCGAAGTACTAACCGTTGGTTCCAGATGCTCCTTTGTCTCCCTTTAGTCCCTCTGCAACAAAAAAAAAGTATGCTTTAAAAATGTATAGATTGGACATGGAAATAGTTCAAGTTATTGTTTCTTGATCCGTCCTCTAAGGAGACGTCAAGCCCATAAAATAAGGCTTATTTGCCGTATAAGTTACAAACTCTTGAATGCGCCCGGACAATGAGGTCCAAGCGGGAAGACAGGAAACCAAACTCGTAGACACAAAACTTTGGACCAAAATATGAAGAAAAAATATGCATGAAGCAATGTTGGGGAATGTATTACAAGATTTGAGCACAATTCAGCAATTGCAGTTATTCTTTTTCGCATTTGTCGAACTACCCCAGAAAAAAACTTCAGATGTCTGGTAAAATTCAGGTTTATTAAAATCGCTCACTTCGGAAATCTTCTGCGTGCGTGAGTGTAGGTTATTTTTATCGTTACCGAGTTCTGCACAAAATTCTTAGATAAAGCTAATTGTAATATTAATCGGTATTAGTTACATCATTTTATGCTATTATCCAAGCACGGAAATAATTATATTCAGATTTATCTGAAGGATTCAAATTCTTTCCTTTGCCGAATTCTTCCTACAATTGAATATTTTGAAATGCTGAAGTTTCGAGCGAAAGTGATATTTTAAAGATGATTCAAGTTTTGCTCTGCAACAATTTTCATGCATCGCGTTATCCGTGCGGTGCTAAGGTTTTTTTTCATTAACGCGATGTAAAATCTGAAGTGTTCATGTTTTTAGCGTTACGAAGAGTTAAAGACATCGAGATTTTTTGTTTCTTGAATCTTTGCACTTCCCAAAACTTTCATGTAATGTGACTATGGGGCTTTATGCCTGCTAAGTTGAATTCCTGTGAACTTTGCCCTAAAAGGGCCCCCGACATCGAGACAGTGACTCGAGAGTCGCGATACAGACACTCCCAGAATTTCTGAAATTTTTTAAATTATTTTCTTCGAGATTTCCGCATTTAAAAAAAAACTGAGCTATATACAGTACTGTAGTTAAAAATGTTAAAAATAAACTTCATTATGAAACTACTCTATTTCATAATAAAAAAACAGGCTAATTTTGTGCCTATATAGATTCACTTTTTTTTTCTTCATGTGTGTTCAGCATGGCAAGACTTATTCTTGTTCTTTGCTTCTTGAGCTCCCTCTGATGTCGAACGATCAGATTCTGTGTGTTTTTCTTTTGCACATGTATTTTCTGTATTTCGAAGTTGAGAAAAAGTTATTTATTCAATTTTTGGGGGAATTTTTCCTAATTTTTGAATTACAGGAGAATCAGTTGAAAACATTCCATTGAAGTCTGTGCTGGGAAAAGGAGGTCCGACTTGCGGATGTCCCGACTTAGGAACAAGGTTCATGGATTAATAACGTCCGCATCTCGGGGTCCCACGATTCAAAATCCACCGATTCGTCATCGGATCAAGAAAGAACGGGAATAGAGCGTAAAAATAAAATTAATGCAGAAAACTGAAGGGATTCCTTGGTTAAATTCAGAAGAAGACGAAGATTTGACAAAAAAAAATTATGCAATCAGAAGAACAAATGGAGTAGGAGTTACGTGCTTGTTGCGTGTAAATCACCCTCGTCAACAACACATGTGTGAGAGAGATTTCTGGGACGCTGTAGCGGGATTTCGCAGCTCATTAATCCGACGAAAATAACAGAGGTAATGAATGCAGGTGGTTCAAATTGCTCTTGGCAATTCAACCTCTGCATAGGCTTTTGACGCTGGAATCGTCACACACATGCATTAGTTTCTCATGTATCGTCAGAGAAAAGCTACTGTTATTAACGAGGACCGTTTTTAGACGGATTCCTCTGTGAAGAAATGGATTCCTTAGAACAGGTCCTGTTTCAACTATAGGTACCACTAGATTACTGTACAGTACTTGGTACCGAGCAAAATGTAAACGTATATTGAAATTCCTAATATAATGACATTTTAATGCAAAACATAACCGGGAAACTCCAACGTAATCATAAACGGAAATTGGCACGCGAATTACAGAACTGTACTTAATTTGCTGATGAAAAAATTGCGCTTGTCGCTATTTTCCCGGTTCGTCCAAAAAAAGAAATAAGAGACTGGACGTACTGTACTCAAGAGAAACCTTCCAAATAGATTTAGACTAATTTGAGCTGGACTGAAGATATAGTGAATTTTCTGAACTAGCTGTGTGCTACATTGTATACCAAACTATGGTGGTACTGTACTTGAGACACCTGGGACGAGATTCTAGAAGATTATTCTACATCAAATCAATCGAAATTTCTCTATTACTGTACTATATCAGTTCAGCAAGCATTTTTTTTCAACGTGATGTGAAAAAAATAAATTTTAATGATGGTAACTGGAATTGGTACCCACAACAAGTGGTACACGAAAACCGCCTCGTTTTGAAAGTTCAAAAAGGCGCAAATATGTCAACGAAGATCTGGTCTTATAGTATTTTTGCTGCTGGTGGTACTCATCATGCCCTTTAACGGTGGCATGCAAGAGATTTTCTGAAGAACTTTGTAAAATATTGTACTGTAGTTTGAAATTACCTCCGGTATGTTAACTATAGGACTTTTTGACGTTTTCTGCGTGTGTACCACTGATGGCATTTTTTACTCGTCAGTAGTTAATATTTACAATGTACGGGAAGCGATAAATTTCAAAATTGAATTATTTTGAAGGATCTACTGCAAAAGACAAATTTTAAACCATCGGTATGCAGTCTCTTGGCACATTATGCAGTCGCCATGCATGTCTCTGATGGTGGTACCATCTATGTACCGAACATGTGCCATTGAACCCCTGATGCGTCTCGAAATTGTAAAATTCACAAACCGACAGTGACTTGTTGAAAAGCGTTTCCCTTTATAACAGGACTTTTTTTTTAGCATTCGAAGCATTTTGTTATTGATCTCAGGTTGATTTCAAAGTAAATCCTTGCTTTCTTTTTTTTTAAATTTTCGATGTAGCCCCCAAATAAATGTTCAAAAATAATTTCTTTTAGCACACGAAGCATTTTTTACTGATCTCAGGTAGATTTCGAAACTGAACCCTTGCTCTCTTCAGGGATTTTTTCGATGAAACCCCGAAAATTTTTACAAATCACTTCTTTGAGCCTACGAAGCTTTTTTTTAAAACTGATCTCAGGTTGATTCCAAGAGTAAACCCTTTCTTTAGACATTTTTTTCGATTGGAGGTCCGAAATAAATTGTTTAAAAATTATTTCTTTTAGCACACGAAACACTTTTTACCGATCTCGGATTGGTTTCAAAAGAAAACCCTTGCTTTCTTCAGGAAATCTTTTTTGATGTAACAGCCGAATAATTGTTTAAATAATTTCTTTTCGCAAACGAAGCATTTTTTTTTATCTCAGTTTGATTTCAAAAGTAAATCCTTGCTTCCTTTAGGAATTTTTTGGATGGAACGCCCAAGTTTTTTTTTTAAATCGTTTCTTTTAGCACACGAAACATTTGTTACTGATGTCAGTTTTGATTTCAAAAGTATAAACCCTTGCCTTGAGCTGGGATTTTTTCTTCTTCGATGAAACAACCCCTAGATGATTCATGCTTAAATCGCATGCATTTTCGAGACTCACATGACAGCGAAAACCATCAAGGCGAACAGCGCCAGGCCCAGTCTTCCTCCCCGTCTCAGCTTCATTCCAATGCTACTTCCGTGAACCCTGGTACTAAACACAGCTCGTCCCCTCGACAAGTCAGACGACGTGAAAAGGACACTCGTCGGACCAACACCACTCGACACTACTGTGTGTGATCCCTCAAGAACTTCCGAGCCACTGCACGTTTCCAGGAGACGACGAAGGAGAAGAAGAAGAAGGACGCGAGTCGATCTCATGCGAGGACCAGTGCGAAGCTCGGTCGGGATCCCAACAGGTTCTGAACGTGATTCGCCTTTGGTTCCCGGCTGGAAGGATTCGGATCTGGGTCAACGCTCGCTTTCAAAGCCCAGAAAATATATCGCTACAGTTAGAGTTACAGAAAACTGCTTTCGAATAAAAAAAAGAATGACACATGAAGTTGCATCTGTTGGTGGTGGGTATATAGGAAACGATATGCAAAATGCTAGTTCGAAGCGGAAAGTCCCCTCCCCCCCGAAATCATTGCGTCTTCGTTGGGCTAATTGTGGGAGAATATGCAAAGTCTAGATTCTCGCTTAGTTTTCGGCGGTCAAGACACCAGGTGCGAGTTGAGACGAGGGGAATTCTTAACGTTTCATTTTTTTTTTTCAATAAATCCGAATGTGGTCATTGGAGTGTGCTGGGGAAAAGTTTCTCCTGATTTTTAAGCGGGGAACAGGTGCCTCTAGCGTTTTCTATGCGAGTTCTGACGTGCTTTTTGATGAGGATGAGTCGAGCATCTGATTTTTGGCAAATAACGTCACTCTTCCGAAGGTGATCTTCTGTATCCGTTTGCTTAATTTAGTTCTTGAAAAGAACCTTGAACAATTTGTGATCCATCGTTAATTTTTTCTCCCGAATTTTTTTTTATCGAAATATTTGGACAATCAAGGGAGACTTCGAAAAAGTAGCCGATCCCGGTCTCCGAAATTATAATTTACTGCGTTTGACTGCATTTAATCTTGGAAATGTTGCAACTTCCTTTGATATTCGTATGAAGTAAGTTTTTACCAGACATGAATGAATACATTTTAATGAATTCGTTAGCACGGATATCCTATTTTGTACTGCAGGACGAAATTTTTGGATGAAACGTTCTTGCTGCTCACTGTTCCATTTTGAGGTTCATGGTTCATTCCAAGTCCCATCTTCTCTGGTATGAATCATCCTTCAAGTGTTCCAACTAAACCATTCTAAGTAAAGCTTCTATATATGGGCAAATTGACATTTTAAATTTCCTAGAATTTTGTCTAAAATAGAAAAACATTTACTCCGTCAGCTGTTCAGCTTTGGTGACTTTTTGGATGTCCGCAATTATTTTTTCAAGTGAATACACAGACTAAAAAGTAGATAAGTAGATAAGATAGTTGTTGCAAATTTAGTCAGAAATTTGAAGAACAAAGCAATTTTTCATGTCAGTCTTCCCAGCAGAACAATCTCTCAAAGAGAGTGCGCCAAATGGAAATTTTCAAAGACCGAGCCATAAAAGGGACAATTTTTGGCAATTGCAAATACTGGAAATATCCAAGGACAAGTGTCTGACTAATATCCATGGAACAAGCACTTGTCCTTGGATATTTCCATGAGAATCAGGTTTCACCCCAGCTTTCACAAGAAATGAAGACAGGCCAATGGTCCTAAATTTCCAAAACCTTTATAAAACCCAAAACCGTAACTGTAAACAAGTTCTGAAAGCAGATGTTGAAATCTAAGCTTAAATCTCAGTGGAAATTTCCATGTTCAAGAACTTTTTCCCTAAAAGAAAGGACCAAGCAAGGACATTGCTATCTCTCCAACCTCAGTACCATGCAGGTTTACGCATACTTGGCAACATTGCAAATTGAAATCCTCTTGTGCAAATATATCAACTTCAGAATAGGGTGTTCTCAAGCACCCCAGTTGCAGCCCAACCAAATCCTTGTACCCTTTAATTTCATTCACTACAAGTTGGAAATATAATTCTCCACAATAGCAGTGAATGTTTCAGAAATATGTGAACAAGAGTAAGTGCAAGAAAATAAACTCAAATAGCTGGTGATTTTCAAGTCTGGATTCTTGAATTATTTTCTATAGAAACCCACAAAATTGAATTACATTGTGTTCAATTTGAACGATTAGGAACAGTTTTGAAATACAGTGAGCCTCTTCGCTGAATTGTGAAATGGAAACCCTCAAACCTAGAATAATCTAGAAAAATATTGAAACAAAAATGCAATCAGGTTACTCACGTTCCAATGTGAATGAATGATCTGAGATTCTAGAGTTTCTAGACGAATGTCTGAAAATTAACTGCCGAATGAATTTTGCCACTTATTTCCATCATGAAAGTTTGGAACAATGAATTTTACACCTTCGTACCGTTACGCGATTCTTCAAGAGCATATTTATTAAATTTCGAGTGAAATAGTAAAGGACATTTTCTCAGCTTTTGAAATATTTATCTTAAACATAATTAGAATCCTATCGAAAAAATTGATTTCAAGAACCCATTCAAAGTTGACCTGTCAGTTTTCTTTATTAAAATCCTTTCACGTGCAAATTCTTTATTTCGAAAGTATGGTACAGTATTTTACTTTTTGAATCCACTTCTGGCGCCCCTCCGGGCTTTTTGGGCGTCCTTGTGCGAAGGACCCACTGCACCCGTCTTGGCGTCCTCCCTGACCCTGCTGATTACAGAGATGGTGTGTGAATTACCTGCACCTGATGCTCAGAACATGTGATAGACTTGAAAGGTACGATAATGCAATTTCTCGGCATTGAAATCATTTTGATAGCACAGCTGTCTCTTACTACTCTGAGCCGAGAAGAACTCCGATTATCTAATAATTATATGGCCCGTATAACGTACTGTAATTGAATGCTTCCAGAAGTTTTTTCCAAGGGCTGAAAAATTAAGCATGACGTCGAAATTGATACGAATCTTGAACCGTGTTTAACTTGGGTAAGGAGAATATGTGTTCAAGTTACGGTTGCAACAATGAAGATATAATGGCCATACGTTTTTTTGTAAACTTTAATTTAGGAACAAGTATTCGGATGATAGAAATAAAGTAATAATCAGAGGCGGTATATCGGAGTTTCCCTTTTCTTTAGTGGATTGAAAAGGAATACTTTTCTCTAAATTTTATTCAACTTGACGTGTCCGTGAGATGAGTTACGAGTCATGCGCCTGAACTTCGGTTTGCATTTAATTAATAATTTAAGAAATCATGTTGAAATGCGACAGCTTGCTGCGAGTCAAGAGTTTTCAAATGTATAAATTCATCATAGATTCCCACAAAACATGAAGAATTTCTGAATCTGATTCTGACAATACAGTATAAGAAATGCAAAAGAGAAGATGCCTACAATTCACTTGTGTTACTGCAGCCGAATAATTGTTTAAATAATTTCTTTTCGCAAACGAAGCATTTTTTTTTATCTCAGTTTGATTTCAAAAGTAAATCCTTGCTTCCTTTAGGAATTTTTTGGATGGAACGCCCAAGTTTTTTTTTTAAATCGTTTCTTTTAGCACACGAAACATTTGTTACTGATGTCAGTTTTGATTTCAAAAGTATAAACCCTTGCCTTGAGCTGGGATTTTTTCTTCTTCGATGAAACAACCCCTAGATGATTCATGCTTAAATCGCATGCATTTTCGAGACTCACATGACAGCGAAAACCATCAAGGCGAACAGCGCCAGGCCCAGTCTTCCTCCCCGTCTCAGCTTCATTCCAATGCTACTTCCGTGAACCCTGGTACTAAACACAGCTCGTCCCCTCGACAAGTCAGACGACGTGAAAAGGACACTCGTCGGACCAACACCACTCGACACTACTGTGTGTGATCCCTCAAGAACTTCCGAGCCACTGCACGTTTCCAGGAGACGACGAAGGAGAAGAAGAAGAAGGACGCGAGTCGATCTCATGCGAGGACCAGTGCGAAGCTCGGTCGGGATCCCAACAGGTT